TCCACAGACTCATCCTTTAGACTGCTTTGGAGCAGCCTGCGGCGTGATCTTGGCCGCGCTGGAGGAAGACTTAGTCTTTGTGGATGTTGTCTTCTTAGCTTTGGACGACTGGTCGTCCTTAGAAGCAGAGGTCGAGTGCTTCCTCTTTGTCCGGGGAGTAGGAGTGGCTGCCTGAAAGGAACAAAACAAAGTAAAAAAAAATGATGAATGAAACAAATGTTCGAGTAAAATTGAGAAGGAGCTCCTTCCCAACCTACCAGCTCGGCAAACGAAGTTAAAAGATGATTTCCGAGCAAATCTGCAAAGGATACCCTTCCCAACATACCAGCTCAACACATAAAAAAAAAGAGAAAGAAAGAAACTATCAGTACCTCCTTGGCCTGTTCGTGCAGTTGTTGGCGGAGTTTGTACCGCATCAAGCTCAGCTCGGACATGTCGGTCTCTCCTTTCTGTTTGGGATCCAGCATTCCGAGAGCTACGTTTGAAAAGAAGAAAAATGAAGAAAGTGTTAGAAAATTTTCAAGATGCAAAGAGCATTCGAATGGTCAAGTCACAAGGTTCTACCTTGAGGGTAGTTTCGGTATAGGCCGCAGGCCAACATATACAGGGTTCCTAAGCCAGTCCGCCAGGGGGATCCAATTGGATGGCACGGTCACCGTCTTTCCATCCCTAACTACCTTCTTGACTTTGAAATAATCCAGTTGAAAGCTGTTGTCAAGATGGACAGGTGGCTTTGAGGGTCTGTGTTGCCCGCGTTTGAGTTGAATTGGATTGGCATTGAATCAATTCATCCGCGAATTAAATTCTTCGTCCTTGGTCTCGATGTAGTAGAATCGGTGCTTCTAGTCTCGCTACTTGGACGACCTGTTCAAAACCACCAGACACCAGATACTCTTTCTGGGTGCTCAAGATAAACTAGCCGTCCGTCCCAGAATCCAAGAGGACCACAGAATGCATTTCATAAATAACTGGAACGTTCGGATTTAAGCCTTGCTGAAGGCACGTCACCAGATAGTCGAAAATATTTACCCAGCTGTTCAACACCAGCTGGAAGATAGCAATGTTGTATTCGTCCAACAAAGCCTAGACGAATGAATGTAAGGGGAAGCGAAGGCCCACTTCCAAGGCGGCGCGGTAGACACTAAAACATTTCTTCCACTGCCTCTTGCTCTCCCAGGCGGCCACTAAGTAAGAGCGAGTTGGCGCCACGGTTTTGTAGTCTTTTCCCAGATGGAGGGACTCTTTGAACTTCTCAAAGTTCAGATGCAGAAAAACCAAGGCAACATTGCCGACTGTACAGGAGTACAGATCCTTAAAATTATCGGCGTTGGCCTCCTCGGCTGCCTGCTCGGCATCTGGGTTCTCCGCTTCTCCCTCGGCGGCTTGGGGTGCAGGGACCCAAGCCGATCCAAATTCAGAGGACAACACTGTGTCCAATTCAGCAGCTTCGAGCGAGCTCCCGCCCTTGGAGCCCTGGCCGCCTTCAGTGACAATGGTGCCTTCAGGCACCAAGGGTTTCTTGCCCTTATCTTGTTTTCCTCCAGCTTCCTCGTGATTTCTAGAAGGAGGAGCGCTGTGAGAGGGCATGTCGATCGGCTCAGCAATGTGAATGCCAGTTCTAGGCCTGGCCGACCTGGTAGTTTGGATTGAGGGTTGTTGGGGATTTTGGTCAGACGACTCCACACGGTCGGACCTAGCGTCTGTCCGATTTCCTGATGGATGCCTTTCAGAAGATAGCAACTCGGATGGCATCAAGACTGAGCTGGTATATTGGAAGAGGCGTTGTACCAGATTTTTCCCGGACGCCTCCCTAGAAGAAGAAGAAGAAGTGCCTCGCTGATTTTGTCTATCAGAAAAGGAGGCGGTCACTTCTACTGCGGAGCATGCACTACCACTATCAGTGGTGTTCGTGTCCTCCCCGTCCGTATTACTTGGATTATATGGGACTAGGGGATCCACCATGTTGCCATCCTGATTACTTCGGGCATCTTTGTCGTACATTTGTCTTGTACGTGCCATGTTCGACTGCAGGGACAAAGAAGAGTAGGTGGGGGTGAGTTGGTACGCGCTAGAAATGGACCCTTTCCAAAGAGAGGAGGAATCGTCTCCGTCTACTCTAGACTCCTCAGTCCCAGGTGAACGGCCGACCTCAAGAGGAGAAACGGACGAAGCCGAGTATTGTGCTAGTTTGTGTTTAAAAATAAAACAAGTATGAAAAAAAAGAAGTAAAGAAAAGCAGGCGGTTACCTTTGTACGAGTAGAAAACCTTGAAAGTTTTTGAAGATCTTAAAGGTTGACCGGAGAACTCAAAAACTCGAACGGGAAACTCAAGACCACGGCGGAGCTCTCGAAGATTGGGGAAGAAAATCACTTTCTCTCTCTAAAAGCTCTAATTACTGTTTAAAATCGCAAAGTTCCAAAGTAACAAAGTTAAGTCCTATTTACAGGCAAGTTTATGGGGGCAAAAGGGTAAAAAACACTTTTCCCGCCCAGAAGCTCAAACGACTCTTTTTGAAAAAACTTAACCTAGTAGCTCAAACGGTTATTCAAAACCGTTTCGTCTATATAAACGGGAAGATGTATAGTCACCCAAACGACACGTTAAATTTAATGGCCAGGTCAGCAAATTTGAACCGACAGCCCGAAAAACCTAGAGACCAAGTATCCCACCTGATTGCAGGCGGCACCCTTCGTCCCCCTAATTTTAAGACCAAGGTTTAAAGATGAAATCGGGCGGACGACTCCAGGCAGATTGCCCAAAGGATCTTTCCAAAAAACTGGGCGGACGTACTAGTCCGCCACTTCCAACCAAGTTGCTCAGATAGCTTAGTACTCGAACGCATCCGGACGAGTGATAATCAGAGGAGGCATCTTGTATGGTACGAGGCACCCCTTATGAGGGGCAAATGTTTAGGGTAAAAAATACCCCAACACGTGGTCCAATCCCATAGTGACACACGACCCAATAAAAGGGCGATACGTGTCCCTATAGGAAGATGACACGTGGAAACCCTAAGAGCACCTGAATGAGAGTAAGGCCTCCTTACATTAGGAGGCCCAATTCCCGAGAAAGGCTCTAAAATGGCCCAATACACGTGACAACCCTAAGAGCACATGATTGCGCCGCCAATCAGAGCCCACCTTCTTAGGGTACTAACCCTAAAGTAGAACACATTCCCACCTATATAAATACCCCAATCATTTATGATGGGAGGGGTGGATTAAGATATATCATTCAAGAGTATTAAATTGCTCCAAATTCTCTTTACTTTCTCTCTCTAAATTACTTCGTTTTCGGGTCACTAACTTGATCGTCGAAGGCGAATATTTCGTCAAATGGAATATTCGTTGTCTTGTCGGTGTCCAAGACCATCCGACTATATTCAAGATCTGTATCCCGAGGGATTCCAAAAAACCCCGAAACAACAGGAGCAAAGGAAAAGAGAAATGGGATTGGAGTTTTCTAAACCTTAAGAACCAGTAAAAGGCTGCACTATTGTAAAGATTTGACTTCCCTAAAAATTTACTCCGTAACTTTTTGACAGGCTCAAGTCGTATCACCTAATAAAAAATAGTTCCTAAGTCCTCTAACTAAAGTAGATAGGGAAGTAGGGTCGAATCCACAGGGAAACAGTGTTCTTCTATTCCTAATCAACAATTATAATCTAAATTATTAAGTAACCAAATTTGCGTTTGAGGGAATCAAACTAATAACGAACTAAGCAAATGAAATAGTGGAACAATCAATATTAAAAAGATCTAGGGTATAGGTTCACCAATAAATAATACTCCAGGGTAAAACATAGGATCTATTATCAATGCATAAATTAACCAGATTATAAAGGGTTGTCGCTACGTATTATAATCACATAATTAATCTACTGATATTAAATCTCATCTCTCGAATCTCGACCTAACCATTAATAGATTAACATGCCTATTGAAACTAAGCCTAAACATAATTTCTCATCTGTCGAATCTCGAATCAATATTGCATGACTCATACAATTAAACCAGGCCTAATCTAATTTCATAGCATTAAATCAATCAATAGGAAATTAACCAATCATCAATAATAAATAATAAAAAATTACCCCTTCGTATTATTCATGGATCCCCACAACCCTAGAAATAAGTCTACTCACTCATAAATAAAACTAAGCTAAACATAATAATTAAACAAGACGTGATTAAATCAAAGCAATTAAACTACTGAAAGTAAAGAGGGAAGAAATTGTTACCAAAATTGAAGGAAATAATGAATTGCATAAATCAAGGAGTGTAGAGAGAATAATAGTAGAGAGAAAGTAAGAGAGAGAGAGAGAAGAAGGTAAAGAAAAGTCGTCCGTGTCAAAGACACCCTTAAACTTGCTTAACCAAAGCGTATTTAAACTAAACTATAATCCTAAATAAAGAAAAAGAGGAACGAAAATAAAAATCCTAAATAAAGAAAAAGAGGAACGAAAATAAAAATCCTAAATAAAACACGTGCCCGGTCGGGCGCGCCTTTTTCTTCATTAATGCTTGCTCGCGCCCGATCGGGCGCGCCTCCGGGCGAGCCTTTGCCCGGTCAGGCGGATGCTTTGGCAGCCCTTTTCTTCTTCTTTTCAATTGGGCTTCACACTTCTTGGCCCAAAACTAATCTTCTTCATGAGTCCAATTTGCCCAAACTCCTATTCACTTCATCGAGCCCTTAATCACCGGATTGATTTCTCATATACGATCCTGGGCTCCGGAATATGATCATAAAAATGCGTCTCGTCTCCAATGCTCGTAGTGGCTCTAATAAATCTGGGAGAATACTCCAAATCCGCAATTTCCTATAAAATAATACCAACTCTACAAAAACACTAGAAAACGCATATTAGTAATAAAAGTAGCTCCGTAGAGCTCAAGTAAACACAATTATGACCATTGGGACGGGGAATAAATATATATATAAAATAGATTTATCACTTTTATTATTGCAAATTTCCAACACAAATTTAAAAGTTTTCTATTGTATTTTTCTTAAAAATCCGGGTTACTGGTCCTGATTAACTTGAAAATTCCAGGTTTAGATTAGACCGAACTGGATCAAAAACCTGGAATCAAGGTTTAGTAAAGACCGGACCATACCGGAATAACCAAGTCCGATCCTTAATTCTGGATAGTTTCACACCCCTAATTACAAGTACATATGAATTATTAAGGTATTCCATTCAATTCGATACATGAAAATTGATTTTGAGATTTGATTAAAACTTTTGATGTACATTTATTGCTTCTAATCAATTTATATGAAGGGGCATTAGTGTTCACAAAAGTGAAATATGTATTGTATGCACTAATTAAGGTGAATATATTTGTTTTCAAAATGACTATTAGAATCACTTGCCAGACCGCAATTAAATAATGGTTATGCCATTTGATCTAAATCATGTCTTTGATCAATGACATTTTCCAAGCCAAAATGTGTGTCTCATGCATATATTCTTGAATGCCATTTGATCCAATTTTATAAGCATTACTACCCCTCTAATGTTTTAATCCATTGATATAAATCAAATATCAAAGTTCGTTATTGTTTTTTGCGTCATATATTTCTTTCTAGAAAGATCTGAATTACATGTTATTCTATGACTAATTTATTAACCGATAATAATTGGAGTGTTTACTTAGTGAGAGTGGCAACATGAAAACATGAGTTTTGTGGTGATAAATCAGTTGGAAGTTTGGATTTTGCTTTAATGATTCTAATTAATTGATATCAATCACATAAGATATTCAATTAATATAATGTACAGAAACTGAAATGAAAACATTTATTAAAATGGTTTGACAGACAGAATCTGAACCGATCCACCATAATAATGAGTTTTGTACATATTCACAACTCTAATATCTTGATACAACTATATATAACCCCTCAAATGTGCGTGCTCTTTTTCATTCCAAGCTCACTAATTTTCTCTCTGATCATTTTGCTGCCTTAATTGTGAGATTGATTGAAATCAAGATGAATAATAAGGATCAATTGCGCCAACAACTAGTGGAGAAGAGACAATTCTTGATTGGCGAGGTTCAGTTCTTAACTTTTTGTTCATTTGATTTTTAAATTTCTATATTATGAATTGTTGTGTGATTTTGTTTGTGCACTTGCATAACAAAATTAAGTGGCTCCTCAAGATCAAGAATTGACAGTGGCTATTGATAAAAATTTACTTCTACATGCATGGACTAGATGGCCTATAATTAAAATTTCAACAAGTTGCTTAGTTTATTTGTGATAAATAATACCTATACATACATAATTCACTTAATTAAAAATAATATTAAAGACACTAATTCATTACATTTGCGAAAAAAAAAGAATTAATAATTACAGTAGAACTTGCAACAATGGGTGTATGTATATATAGATTATTTTTTTTTTTGAATAGATGTATATATAGATAATACAATTGAAAAACCTTAAAGACCATTGAAATGAGTGTCGTAGGTCCTCAACCAAAGAACTTTAAGTAATTAATTAATCTCTTAATGATAAACTACGCTGTTGTCAAAAAAAGAAAAAAGAAATAAAAAGGATAAACTAGTTTTTTGCTTGTGGGATAAATTATTTTCTTAATTTTATATTTTTTTATTTTTTATTTTTTTAATTGTTAAGGATAGATGAAAGATGAAAATTTCGACACACGAGTATATGATGAGTTTAAAGTTTGATAAAAAAATAGTGAAGTGAAATTGGGAGATAAAGAACAAAAGACCGGAAATAACATGTCTAGAAGGAAGGGGATCGAAAGGAAAAGGAAAAGATGAGAAAGAGGAAGAGAGAGCATCAAATATGTTTTCTATAATTATATATTATAATAATATAAATTTAAATATGTTGTGACAATGTAATTTATTTAATCGAGGTTAAGCCTTTCTTAAGGGTCTTTTCATTTTTCCCTATTATTAGTTAGCTAACAATACCGTTTTTTATTTTTCAACTTATTCATGATCTAATAAATCATTTAATGAAAATTGAATTTGAAATAATGGTATTATAATGAATTTTAATTTATGGCTTTATAAACAAAATTAGACTCGCTTAAATTTAATACAAGTCTATGTGCTTTACTATAAGATATTAAATATCCAGTTCTAACATACAGGGGATTGTGGATGAGTTCTTTTTACAAGTGGAGTCCCTAGAAGATACTCAGCCTAATTTTGTCGAGAATATCATTACTGCATACTTTCCTTCATCAGCAGCCTACATGAATGATTTGGAACAACTCTTGTAATTATAAACCTTTTCTTATTTATTTATGCTTTCTTGTCTTTTTTTAAATTTGCAAACATTACCTACTCATATTATTTCATATACTCCATCCCTTCATATGTATTGGTTGCTGCATTTTTAATGGGTATATTTATCAAATTTTAATGTAAAATTATTAATATTTTTTTTTTTTTACAGAAACTCCAAACCCATAGATCTTGTAAATGTGGAACGTTTGATTCTAAAACTGAAAGGAGGCAGTGCTACGTAAGTGACAACTTATTAATTATATTTACAAACTTATGCATTCTTATTGTTGCCTTTAACTTTTATTTTACCCCATGTCCTAAATATTTGGTCCCATTATGATTTAATGTTACAAATTCACAAAGTAATTAGTCATTTTCTAAATCATGTAGAGCCACACTTATTATAAATAATGAAGCTTATCCAAGTGTAATATATTATTTAGAGACTTAAGAAAATTATGCTTCTATTGTTTGTAATCATTATAAGACAAATTACTTTCTTATATGCAGTATGGGAATGGCAAAGTTTAATGCGATCATTGAAGAAATGTTCAACATTTTCAGGGCAAAAAGATATGACAGGTTATAGTCGTCTAATTTAATCTTACTTTTAAATTTATCAAAACAAAGAAGAAGATTATAATTCTTTGCCATACATTTTATTTATTAGGTTATATGCTGCATTTTTTAGAATTAAGGAGGGGCATGAGGCTCTAAAGATGCAAATCGAACCTTATGTTGAGGTTATTTTCAACATCCCTCACAAAATTTTAACTTATTTGTATTATTGTTGACTGACTATGCATTTATCAACTTATCTTTATGTGTGTTTAGATATTACGTTTGCTGAGAGAATGTACTTCAGATGAGGCATCAAACAATCATGCAGAGGTTGAAAGCATTGACAGCAATGATGATATATGTGATTGAGGCTTGCATATATGAGAAGCATCTTAACTAGAGAAGTTTTAGTAATGAAAGAATATTTGCATTTGAATGATGTTTTTTTTTTGTTTTTAATTAACTTAAGAACTATGCGATCTATAAATTTAATTTCGTTGTTTTCTGTGGGGATGTTGAATGGTTTTAACTTTATGAACTTAGTAATTATGAAATCCTATTATGAAATTAGATTTAATTTATGTTTCTTAATATTGAATAACATGCAATACCTTAATATATATTGTTTTTTTTTTTTTTTAATAGTTTTTAATTGCATTTTGATACAATTTTTTCTTGCATGCAATATTAAGGGTAATTTGAGGAAAATATAAGTGTATCTCCTAATTGTTAATCAAGTATCAAATACACATTGAATTACAACCAATGTAAATCGTCTCTCTCTCTTATAGAATTTTCTTATAAAATATATATTTTAAAATAGTTTAATCGATATTATGATTCATAAAAATCAATAGATGATGAATGTACGTCAAAAGCTTGATATTCTCAAACGTTTTGTTATAAAAGAGATTAATTGGGGTGCGCCTCGATAAGGATTGTACCTTATGCGTTTCAATTAATTAGTTACAAAAAATGTATACAAGAAAAAGACTTCAAGATGATAATTAGTAGAAGGCCTCTTCTAAGTTTTAAGTCAGCATAAAACCAAACCTAACACATCTATTGTGGTGTTACATGTTTTTCTAATAGTTTTAGACCCATCAAAACTCAAGAATACATCGAGAATTATAGTAATACAAATTTATACTATAAAACATGATTCATTTGGTGAAAATAATACATAATACTACCCTAATCCAATTAGTTTTCATACCTTAATTCAGGCTTTGAAGACTAGCAAGGTTGAAGAAAGCTCCACGCTTGTGCTTGAGTTGGGTGTAAGTCCCACGCTCCACCACCTTTCCATCCTCGATGAAGGTGATGGAGTCAAGGTTTTTAATAGTGTTAAGCCGGTGAGCAACCACGAGGGTGGTTCGGCCTATCATGAATCGGTCCAAGGCTTCTTGGACTAACCTCTCAGATTGCATGTCCAAAGCACTAGTAGCTTCATCAAGTAACAAAATAATTGGGTTTCGGAGTATTGCTCTTGCTATAGTAATTCTTTGCTTTTGACCTCCTGATAGTTGTACCCCTCTCTCTCCACATTCGGTTTGGTATCCTTCTTTTAAGGAGCTGTGTGCAAATCAATGAATTAGTCCGTTTTATCGTTTAGCTAAATCAAGATTAATAGGAAATCAATCAAGGATAATAGGAATGGATCAAGAAATCCATATGAAAGGAAAGAAATCAAAGGCAAATTAAAACATGATTTGATAAATGGTGATTGTTTTCACACTAATTTTTGTTTGGGAGTTGGGGTTGGATCAATAGTGTGAGTCATTTTTTAGTATGAGCTATCCGAAGAAACCAATAGATAAAAACATAAATGATAAATGATGATTGTGTTCATACTAATCTTTATTAGAGAATTGGGTTGGATCAGCATAGTCTGAGTCATATATAAATATGAGTTAACCATTATGATTTTGGTTTGGTTAAGGTTCATAATTAAAATAAAATAAATCAAGAAAGGACTATGTAGGAAATAAATAAAAAATGATAAATGATGATTATGCTCACACTAAGGAGTTGGATTGGACTGGATTGGATTGAATTAGTAGTCTAAGTCATATATGAGTTATCCAGATCGATTTTGATTAGGTTGGATTAGTAGTCCGAGTATTAATTAATACCAGTTTACGCACGTTAAATATGACACTAAATGGTTATTTGTTTCACAATCGACACTAATACCACCAACACCACTCTTCCCCACCCCCTTTTTAAAAAATAATTGAAGGAAATTTAAAAAAATAAAAAAGACTAAAAACTAAAATAAAATTAAGTACATAATTTACTTACCAAATAAACTCATGAGCATTAGCAGCTTTAGAGGCTTCAACAACTTCATTCTCAGTGGCATCAACCTTACCAAGAACAATATTATCCCTAATGGATCCGGAATAAATTATAGGTTCTTGGCTAACAAGGGCCATATGTTTTCGATACCACACCACATCAAACTCTCTTATATCCACCCCATCTACCTTTATTGCTCCTCTATCAACATCATAAAATCTTTGTATTAAGGCTATCACTGTTGACTTCCCACACCCACTCTTTCCCACAAGCCCTACACTTGTTCCCGCCTTCACTTCTAGGCTGAATTGTCGAAGGATCGCGCTCTCGGATCGTGTTGGGTATGCAAAGTCCACCTTCCGTAGCTCTATTCTTCCTATGATCTTTTCTAGTTTTGTTGCCTGTAAATTACACAACAACATTTTAAATTGGTTAAATGCAGTTTACACAGATCGAACATATATACATTGAATCAAAAATACTGATTAGTTTACACATTTTCCCAATATAATCTCTAATGAACGTATGACGTGATATACAAAGATAACCTTTACAAGAGCTGTGTAGTATTGAAATTATATATTCAGCTTGTTTATTTGTGGGGATTATTGATGGGATAGAGATTTAAAATCCCACATCTCTCATTCTCCCTTGTTTAATTTGTTTGAGAGAATACATTTTCCAAATGTTATCCTATATAAAAGGAATAGGGATAAAATAGGAGCTTATCCTTTACTTATAATATAACAGAGGAAGTATGTATAAGAATTAAGGATAAAAATTAATAAGTAAAAGACAATTTTACCCTTATTTTACTACTTATTGCAATTTTTTTTATGGGACTACTTATTGCAATTTTTTTTTTTTTTTTTTAAAACAATTAAGGGATAATATCATTTTTATCCTTATCCCACCTATTAATTCACTATCTTTATTGATCCCACCTACTAATTTTCTATCCTTATCCTATCCTCTCATCCTCATTATCCCTATTCCTCTTGACAAACGTCACGGTACAAATTTACTGTTATAAAAAGATAATTTTTTTTTCTCAAACATCCAATTATACGACTATTTATATGTACTGATATTCATTCTGAACTGATTAATTACGTAGTATTTGCTAAAAAAAAAGATGTTACACAAGAAACAGAATTGCAGTTGCTAACCTGAGAGATTGATGATGACTCCAAAATCTGGGAATTTCGATCAAGAATTCGAAAAACGGAAGTAACAGCAGCAGAACCCTTAGCAAGATCAGAAGTCATACTCCCAGCTTCAGCAATAACCTTACCAGTACTCACTAACACAAAGAAAGTCTTAAAAACATCTCCTGCAGAAATCTCTTTCTTTTCAACCAATTTTCCACCATACCAAAAATCCAATGCCCAACACATAAATGTTAGTCCTTGAGCCGAGCCCATACCGGCCCCGGCTAACCATGACTTCCTTCTCCCCTGCCGCCTAGGCTCATTTTGTGCCTCATCGAATAACTCAAGAACTTTTCCTACGCACCCATAAGAAGTCACTATCCTGTGGTTATAAACTGCCTCAACTGCGATTTGTGTGCTTTGATTTTGTGCCTTTACAAAGTTGTTTGTTATGCTAGAGAGTAAAACTTTTCTTGTATAGAAGCAAAGGATGGTGATGGGTTGAACTGCGATCATTACAAGCGCGAGCTTCCATGCTGTGACTAGTCCCATTACCATGGCAATTGTTACAGCCGAAATGGTCTGAACTAAGAGGGAAACTCTATCAGCTACTAAGGATTTCACCATTGTAGCCTCATTGCTTAGCCTTGAACATAGTGCTCCACTCGAGTTCTCCTCATCATCGAACCAAGCAGGCTCGAAACTCAAAATTTTTTCAAGCATTTTAAGGCGGATTCTCTTGGTAAGGCGCTCACCCATGTATGCAAAACTCGAGTGTTGAGCAAGGTTGAATGTGATGGAAAAAATTGAAAGAAGTGAGAAAATAAAGACATAGTTTCTGATTCGAGACTTCATTTCCTCATGATTTGACACAAAAAAGGCAGAGATCATTGATCCTATTGTTAAGGCATAGGTAGGCTGCACTGCTCCAAACGCGATTGCAGAGAGACTTCCAACTAGTCCTTGTTTCCACTCAGGCAAGTTCAAGGAAAAAAGTCGCGTAAAAGATGGTGAAAGATGGGATTTTGTTGATGAGTCTTGGTCTTCAAAATCAGGTAATGGTGTAGTGAAAACAGCAGGACTTGATCGCGCAGTGCTCAACCTTCCTGCACTCCTAGGAACAGAAGAAGTAGCACTAGGTTCATAACTTTGGTCTATGTCATTGCAACTTAACTGTTTCTGCATTTTTGCTAGCTTTGCATAATGGCCATCAGTTTTGTTAATAAGGTCTTTGTGTGATCCTGTTTCCATGATTTCGCCGTTGTTGATTACTGCTATCATATCTGCATTTTTCACTGTGGTGAGCTTGTGTGCAACTACCTGCTCATCATATTAAATTAATCAACACGTATTTTTATTAGATAATACTCTTCTATATCCTTAAAACTAGCTTATTGTATTTATGTAAGTAGTGATGAAGTTTTTGTACCAGAGTAGTTCTTCCAAGAGAAGCTTGATCGAGGGCGCTTTGAACTAGAGTTTCAGATTCTGAATCTAGTGCACTTGTTGCTTCATCCAAGAGAAGAATCACAGGGTTCTTTATAATTGCCCTAGCAATCGCGATTCTTTGCTTTTGACCTCCGGATATAAGTGCTCCTCTTTCACCAATCTATAATTGTGATACATGATTAATACAACAAAAAGCAAGAGTATAACATTAACAAAAACAAAAATAAATAAATAATATAATGAGGTCTAAAGGACCAGGGCCGTCTCAAACATTTTAAAAGATAAGAAAAGGCGTACTTACTAAAATGTTATACCACAACATTAATATGGTACACGTAAGAAAATTAATAAATTACATTCGTTAACATATATATGTACCTTAGTTTCATAGCCTTCGGGAAGTTGTCTAATGAAGTTGTGCGCATTTGCAGCCTGAGCAGCACTAATAACTTCATCCATAGTAGCATCAAGCTTACCAAACATGATATTGTCCTTAATCGACGTACCAAACAAAGCATGATCTTGGCTAACAAGTCCCATTTGACTCCTAATCCATTTCAATTTCAACCTTCGTATATCAATGCCATCAATCCTTACAACCCCCTCATTGGCATCATAGAATCTCTGAAGTAGCGCAACAGCAGTGGATTTCCCACTCCCACTTGCTCCAACAAGGGCAACAGTCTTCCCTGCTTCGACTTTGAGGTCAAAATCTTTTAGGATGATGGTGTCAGGGCGAGAAGGGTAGGTGAAGTTAACGCGTTCAAATTGTACCTCCCCTTGAATTTTGTCTAGAATTAGGCCTTGCTTAGCCTCACCATCGATTAATGGAGACCGGTCTATCCTCTCGAATATTCTTGATGCTGCTACTGAGGCTTCTGTGAAGTGTTTCATTTCTGGTAGTGCACTTCCAAGTGCTCTGCATCAATTAGCATTTATGCATATAAAATTCAAGTAACAAATTAGTTTAATGTTCAAGCATTTGCAACAACAAAAACAAAATTAAGTATTGATTTATAGATTATTATGTTCTTAAGGTATATGCTAAATACTAAACAGCGAAAAATTAAAGATTATTAATTACATATTCAAGGTAAATGCTCCCATAATTTGTCTAAATTAAAATTAGTTGTCTTATAATGTCAAACATTATTACACAAGTAAGAGTTAAATAGTACATGATTTTACCAAACCTTCATATTATATATGGTTCATATATACATATCATCTCCTTGTCTCTCATTTTAAGTTATCAAATTAAAATAATCGGATTAACAATAAATCAGTACTACATAAATTAGATATGTAAGAGTTTTTTTTTTTTTTTTTTAATTTTTTTTATTTTGAACATGCTAATATATATGACCGTTAAAGGACCAATTCAACCAAAAGTTTAAGTTCATGGTTGAAGTCCAGGGATATGTTTTATATATACTCTATCACAACCCCTCACACAAGAGCCCGATGGATGAGATTCAAACCCGTGATCTTTGTATCATGCTAACTCTTGATACCATGTTAAAGGACCAACTCATCAACCAAAAACTTAATCTGATGATTGAGGCCCAAGAATATGTTTTATAATCTATCAATGACTATTAATTAATTCTAGAAGGAAGATATATAAATAGAAAAGTAAAACATTACGAGTAATTGAGTATAAATTAAATCAAGTATTTGTTTATAGGAATAATTAAGATGATAAAAAATGACAACCTTTATGTAATCAAGCAAGAAGTATCGAAGCAACAATAGATCCAACGCATTATTAGGCATCAATGTAACATGATTCACATCAAGATCAGAGAACAACACTTAATATTAATAGACAACAAGAATATTCTGCAAGAACGTTATATTTGATACTATCTTCGTCTTTCATGTGACACTCAATTTTCTATGATGCATGATTTAGAAGATGCATTCATAAATATATTGGTACTTATTTTATGAAGTCTTTATTTATCTTTGAATACACTTTTCGAGTTTATTGTCTAATTAGATATATGCATTGTATCAATATCACATCTTAATTTGTGTCGTTAAATTTTAATTATGCTCAATACCCTTATGCATCATAGTATAGCATTACCATACCATATAAATTTCATCAATAGTTTTCCAAAAATAGGTTAATGGTTAACAAGAAGCAAAAGACTGCCAATCATAAATAAATTGTTTGTTAATCACAAATCATTTGCTACATTAACTAGTTAGCATGCACATATATATATGCATGAATAAACTACACATAAACTAAATTAGCATACTAAAAACAGTATAGAAAAAAACAAGGAAAGTATAATGTACTAAACTAAGAACAATATATACTTACACTCCTCCCATGATAAAAGTAACACCAGCAGCATAAACTCGACCACCAGTTTCTCCATGGTACATAACCAATCGACTTCCATACCAAGCAATAAATGCCCATATCGCAAAAGCAAGCCCTGTGCTTCCAACAGCCAACCCTTTCGCGACCCCTTGCTTAATCCCTAGCTTCATTGTTCGGTCCAAGATGAGACCATATTTCTCTAGAATAGTCTTCTCAGCAGTGAAAGAATACACGGTTTTGATAGAGCTTAAGGCCTCTCCTATGATGCTGTTGGCTTTGCTGTATTCTTGATACGACTTTTTCGATAAAATTAGAAGGTATTTCCCGTAGATTACTCCTGGAATTAGTAAGAGTATGACTGTTGGAAAGGCTACTATTGCTAGCCTCCAGGAGAAGTAAGCAGAGAATGCAATTCCTGATAAGAATGATGATGAGTGCATCAAGAATATTGGCACCTGAAACCCTCAAAAAGCACCAAATGTTAAATTTTATAGCAAACAACAAGCTCAAATTCTCCATCTAACTAAAGCTAAAATGAAATTGAGGGCTATATTTTTTATATTTTTCTTTCCTGGTACATATATACTTCATACATAGTAAGATTTTTTATTAATTTATTATTAATAAGCTCCATCAAAAAGATCTTGTTATGAAATTGTGAATTAAAGGTGTAAAGATCCAAATCTACTTAAGTCCAATAATTACTATTTATACGAAAGGTTACTTATGAATTGATTGAACCATAGCCAAAAAAAATTAATTATAATAATAAAATAATAATAATAATAATAATAATAATAATAATAATAAAAAAAGAAACACACTAGCAAATGTAGCAATGGACACATTTTGAAGGAAAAAAAAAAGAAAAAAATAATGGAAGGGAAAAAGAAATTGTGCACAGCTCCAAAGCACTAAGGAAAAGGAGAGCATCTAAAAACAGAAAAGTATTAATCCAAAATGTAGCAATGAAAACAATTTGTCCAGAACAAATACGCTCTGTGTTACATCACCTCAAGTACTTATGTCAGACATGGGGTAATTAAACTCCGGGCCAATAATTATTGGCCTCAACTAAACCATTTCTTAAAAAAATTCCCATGTTTTGTTTCAATATAAAGTGTCATTTGTTCAGCCATGTGATTATGCCAAGAATCCAAGCTTATTAGACAAAGTGATCTATGTTTGACAAAATTAAGAAAAAAGGTTTACATAAGGATAACTTTAAAAACACTTTTTAAAAAAAAAAAAAGAATAACCATGATATATGTCAAACATACCTTCTCACTCAAAACCTCTTGAATGAGTGAAGTATCTTTGGATATACTATTCACAACCTCAGATGTAGTAGCTTCTTGTGAATCAAAGAAGCCGACCTCTTGCCTTAGCACAGCTTCCAGATACTTGTATCGAATCCTCAACACTTGTCGCTCGCTCGTTTTGCTCCAACAAAAACCCTCTACAAGAGTCATTTTTCATGATGAACTAATTAGATCATAACAAAATCTAGCTAGGTATATACAATATATGTTTATTCAATGAATTTGCTAGGGTTTATTGTGTACTTAAATTAATAGTTAAATTTTGTTACTTACCCATGAAAGCTAATACAAAGACTGCTAGTCCCAAGTAAACAAAGTATAAGCTGCACTGGTATAACAAAAAAACAATATTAGTATGCAGTGTAACAAATAAGTTAAACTATATATTATCATAAATAAATTACATGTTTAATTTAATTGATCAAGATCTTTACCATTGGAATTATTCTAGAGATCCTCCATATGCATATTTTTTTACTATATGTTAGTTATATATATATGTACATATGAAGCATATTATATTATATGTAATTAAGTATAATATTACTACTAACCGTACCTTTTCAACATCGGACATGAAGGTCTTTGCATTATTATTCTCTTGGTTTTGGCCAAAGCCAAGACTATTCATAAGCCTGCTAGCAAACACTAAGAGGCAATTTGTAGACATTCCATCACCTATAGCTCCAATGGCACCCGATATCATTAGGAGATAATCGATCCAATCTGCATACCGAAATATTATTATTGTTCCATTCGATTTTCTTTCCTTCATCCGATGATTTCCTTCTTTATCTTCTTCCATGTATATTCTTTAGAACAATCAATGTATTGTACAAATTTTTTTTTTTTTGGGAGTTGTTGTACAAGGTTTGCTAGCTAGCTACTAGCTATCTTAGTTCATCAAAATACAAATTTGCAAGTGCAACTACAATGTTAGCTATTACCCCTTAAAAAGGAGAAAATTAAAAGAGAAGGGGGAGTGGGTAGCTAGATAAGCTATGAATTTGCTAAAAAGAAGGGAACTATATACAACTTATATATAGGTGGGCTTTCTAGGAAAACAACCTGTATCAAAACTATATACTCAAGCATTAAGCATTATGTGGGGCTTCCAATGACAAGTATGTCAATCATGACTCTAAGCTTTGTGGCTATATGGTTGATTGTTTTGGGAAGTAGACCTGTCAATTGGGTCGGTTAGGTTGGGTAATTAGGTTCGGTACATGCTAAAAAAGTTGCATTTATAAGGATTTTATCTTTTTTAGACGGATTGTAATTGACGAGTCTATTTTAGATGCAATAAAATAAAATTTATGGATACTTAAAAAATAATAAATTTTTTTATACTTTATCACCCCTGCAACAAGGGCAAAAATAACTAAATAAGTACAGAAAAAATTTAAGCATGTTTGCCCAAAAAGGTGATGCTGCCTCTTTTTAAAAAATGTCCATTTGTGGGTGGTTATGTTCCTCTTTCTATTAGTTTAATGTTTTAGAGGCTTTAATTAGGGAGATGTATAATGACATTACTTTGATCACATGTCGTTTATTGCCTTACTTTAACTTTTAATAATTAATTAATTAATATATACTCCGTATTTAATAATTAGTTAATAATAGTATTATTATATTTTAAACCCGCATCCCTTAGCTTGGCAATTTGGCATGCCATGCAAACTTCATAATATGGTTATCACTAATCAATTAATAATCAATTAATCTAATCTTCATTGGATCCTAGTTAATCATCAAAAGAATTACTATATTCACTAATATTATTTTCGTTAATTAATCTAGCTTTCTACCACTGCTTCTCATGGAAGCTGATGCTCTTTAATTTATTTGTGCTAACAGCTAAAATGCTAAACCATCAATTATGAATTCAAGATTTCAAGTAGCCCTACAATTCCACAAGAGACCAATTATTCAAATATTAAATTTCTGAAGAGTAACTCACTCGGATTATAAATTATAAGTTTTCTAACATTATCTTTCAAGTTTCAACATATGACACTTAACCAAAAAAATTTATTCACATAGTCGCACTTGTACCTAACATAGACCTTGATTTGTTCATCAGCTTAATTCAATAATTAGTTATTCATATACGTATATCAAACTTGACAATCCAACCAATTAGAGCTCATAAAAAAACAAAAACCTTTTTTCACACCATCATACCATTTGGATTACTACCAAGTTCAAGTGTGAATAACAAAAATAAATCATTAATTATTTCATCATAAAAGTTTTCCTTATGTTAAAAAAAGCATCAAATAATACTACTTGGTTCATCAATTTAAAACATTAATTTATTTGTAACTTTCAAAAACACTACTAATAATTAAATTGTCATTGTATTTGTACCTAATTTTTTTGTCATTTTATCCACATTTACTGGCAAAACAATGACATTATAAGTCATTTGTAAGCCTCCAATAAAAGTCATTTGAATATACTCACTATTACTATACTATTATCCAACAAGATCGAAATCTTCATGCATGTCCTATTCCACTTTAATTTGCATAAAATTAAAGTTGGGGTATCTTCTAAACAAATATATATAAAATTCATGTTGATCATGATTATGATAAATCTGATTATTGATCTTGCTTTAGCTAGAAATTGAACTGTATTACTTTTATCATGACTTACTCCGCATAATACTAATCAACCTAATGACACCTTCATGCAAAATGACAAGAGAAGATCATTAGAGAAGACCATTTTTTAAAAAAATAAATACAATTTCTCGTGTTGGTTCTCCACGTATCTTTAGAATCTTTGATCGGTATTTTTCATTGATATATAAGAAATAGTATAATTATGTAAAATCTTGTTAGATTTATTTTAATATATACATATTTTTAAAATATTAAAGGTGTTAATTGTATTTTGAAAACCAAGAAAAGTAGATGGATCGATTCTTTAGTGACAGAAGGTGTATTGAAAAAGGACAATTGAATACGAAGTATATAAAACGGAGAGTATAGTACGAGTAGTAGTCTAAAGTCAAAACTGTTTGCGCGAGTACAATGATTATTGACATAATTTAAGGTCCAATGTGGTAGTAAAAGCATATTTAGTGGCATAAAAGTGAAATAAGCATCATTAAGGAATAAGGGCCATCACATTAATAATATATATATTAAAGGCTAATTAGTAATTACCATGAATTCATGATATCTTATTTAATTTTATTATATTACTCCAATGTCGCGTCTTAATACTCTAACATGTTTATGTAGGTACACTTTTTTTTGTTGTTTAGAGAGCCACAAGGACGGGGTGAGAATCGATCCCAAAAAGATCTCTGAAACCGAGAGAAAAGCTCTAACCACTTGAGTTATTGCTCACTCTATCTATAGGTACACTTTGATAGCAAATTGTATTGCCTCCTTGTGAAGTTGAACTTTTCTTATAGTACCCGCTCTAGTTACTCCGCCGACCACATTAGCCATGTGCTAAGTAAGTTTATTCATTTTTTAAAAAAAAAATTAGTTATTCATTATGGTTAAGTGCCTAATTAAGTTTTACAGTGAGATATGACCGATATGTTGATATTCTAGGAAGCATATATTCTGTCATATATAGTTCTCGGGCAAAGTTAAATAGATGATTATAAGACTATGTTAATTTTAATGTGATTTTAACCTACATGGCTACAATTAACTTAATAATTTCTTAGTCTATATAGTATACTGTATACACTCTAACTACCTTGTGATACGGAATTTTAAAATTAATTTTACATCATTAGGCTCATGTGCTAATTAGATTTTTCAATTATATATATGCTTAATATTTCTTAAACTATGTTCCATTGGTTTGTTTGCTTGCCACTAACTGTTGTTGGTACGTAAAAAGCCGTTTACGAGGGGAAAAAAAAGTAAGCACAACTTTTTTTAAGGATACAACCGGGATATGAATTTGTAAATTAATAAATGAATACTTCATACATTATATTAATACCATACATGTTGATCAAAGTGATGATGTCACATATCATAAAATACCTCCTAAAAGACAATGTTACGTCACATTCACATAAAAAAAATTGTACAAAGAATATATATTATATATTTTCTCAAGTCCAAACCCTACCTTATTCAAAGAAAGAAAAGAAAAAATTCATGATGTTAGTTAATTCTTATATATATATATATATATATATATATATATATATATATATATATATATATATATATATATATATATATATATATATATATATATATATATGGTACGGTGAAGGTAAAAAGAGACTAAACAACAATGTGTATGAAATTTTATTAAATTTTCTTTTCTACTATATATGATGCAAAATTAAATGATTTAGTCCATCAATATCTATATGACTATATGCTCCATATAAGCTTGATTTTTTTTTTCCTAACGATGTACATGAAATTTGGCTCTATGTTTGAGTATCGCATCTATAAATTCAATGAACAAGTATAGAGTAAAATATATCGCTTTGGTACTTCTCTCTATGTTATTGATCAATTCACAACCTCAAATAACCTTTCTTGTATATAAAAATTCAGTGAAGTTTACATATATAATTTTTTAAGGTCATGATGAAATGCTCTTTTTTCCAAATCCAATTTCTTATTCTTTTCCTTGGACATATTATGGTAAAAGGTACAATGATCATGCACCATTCGCTTAAAGCAATTAGATTTTTTTTTTCCCTAATAGGAAAAGAATATTATGGCTCTAAAATGGTAGTCAGTGAGGCAAGCTTAATTAACACATTTTGGTATGGGAAATAAAGATGTATTAAAAGAAGGATAAAAGCTAAGGTAGGTATACCACAAGAATAGAACAAACATAATGGAATTAAGTATCATTTAAAAATCCAAGCCATCAAACATAATGGAATAAAGCATCATTAAAATAAATTCAAGCCATCACACGCAAATTTAAAGTGTATTTGGTGATAGATACCTTTGCATACTAATAAAAGCAACATTGTTAGGAAATAAGGGTGTAGTTGTGTTTGATTAATGCGGAACAAGTCAATGAAAATAAGAACGAGAAAACTAATAAAGAAGATAAACAAAGAACATAAGGATTTACGTGGTTCGGTCAAATTAGACCTACATCCACGGGTGAGGGATTCAAGAGTTTCTTCACTATAATGGAGAAAGAACGAGCTGAGAGAATAATACAAGGAGTCCTAAATCTAATGGCTCAAAATGTATGATCTAATATATCAACTAAAGGGTCCTTTTATAACACAAGGAAACCCTAATAAAAACCCTAAATTATTGTTCCCCAAGTATACTCAAATAGCCGTCATAGAAAAGATATAATATTAGGAAATATCCCATAAATTATCCTAGAAGAACCGAACTACCGAGTTATAGCTCGAAAGCTAGCTCAAGCCTGCCGCAAGTCTTCATAGGGCCGAGCTATAGCTCACTCGCATAGAGCTATAGCTTGCAACCCCGTTGCAAATTTCCAGCTTCGTCAGGTATTCGTAAAACGACCATAACTTTCTCGTTTCTTATTGGAATTGGGCATATGACCTATCGTTGGAAAGCTCTTGAAACAAGCTATCACCTACAATTTGAATCACCTCAAAATAACTTATAGTTTGAGAGATATATGTATTCAAAGTCAGCCCTACTTAGATTTCGAGTCACACTTTAACAAACATTTATAAAACTATTTCCTTAAAATATATTTTATTTTACAAAACAATGCGCGTTTTTAGTATAAGATATAACTCTGCCCATACACTATTACAATAAGTTTAGTCACTTCAAATTATGTAATCATCACCCATTTACGAAATTAATAATAATATTTACGTCTTAATGACACCCGATATACATTCAAAACCATCCATATAGAAAGAATATCTAATAAAGCCATGCATACGTAAAGGGAAGAAATTAACTAATTTATGTAACATCCATGATTCATTATAGTCAAAACGAACATTAAACGGGGCCAGACATGATGAAGTGATGTTATTGCTTTTATGAAATATGTTTATGTAATATGATAAATTAGAACCTACTCAATGTTTGATAAGTGGAGAAATGCGTCATAACTCAACATCTTCAAAGACTTGAAAGTTCTCAATTCTCAACTTTCAAATCCCACGATACCGAGTTTAGCTACAATATGATTCCAATATTAGTTAAAATAACAAAATAATGATATTAGTCACTTTCAAAGTTTTGATCCTATACTTTTGTCTCTCTAAATCAAGTGTATATTTCATCCGTTTTTTTTTTAATTGACGCGTTATTATATCATGTTTGACAATGT